TTCTCTGAATTTCTGAATTTTTGAATTTTTGAATTTTTGAATTTCTGAATTTTTGAATTTCTGAATTTCTGAATTTCTGAATTTCTGAGATTTCTGAATTTCTGAATTTCTGAATTTCTGAATTTCTGAATTTCTGAATTTCTGAATTTCTGAATTTCTGAATTTCTGAATTTCTGAATTTCTGAATTTCTGAATTTCTGAATTTCTGAATTTCTGAATTTCTGAATTTCTGAATTTCTGAATTTTTGAGATTTCTGAATTTTAAAGATTTCTGAATTTCCGAATTTTAAAGATTTCTGAATTTCAAAGATTTCTGAATTTTTAGGATTTCCGAATTTTTAAGATTTCTGAATTTTTAAGATTTCTGAATTTCAAAGATTTCTGAATTTTTAGGATTTCCGAATTTTTAAGATTTCTGAATTTTTAAGATTTCTGAATTTCTGAATTTTTAAGATTTCTGAATTTCTGAATTTCTGAATTTCTGAATTTCTGAATTTCTGAATTTCTGAATTTCTGAATTTCTGAATTTCTAAATTTTTGAATTTTTGAATTTTTGAATTTCTGAATTTCTGAATTTCTGAATTTCTGAATTTCTGAATTTCTGAATTTCTGAATTTTTGAATTTTTGAATTTTTGAATTTCTGAATTTCTGAATTTCTGAATTTCTGAATTTCTGAATTTCTGAATTTCTGAATTTCTGAATTTCTGAATTTCTGAATTTCTGAATTTCTGAATTTCTGAATTTCTGAATTTCTGAATTTCTAAATTTTTGAATTTTTGAATTTTTGAATTTCTGAATTTCTGAATTTCTGAATTTCTGAATTTCTGAATTTCTGAATTTCTGAATTTTTGAATTTTTGAATTTTTGAATTTCTGAATTTCTGAATTTCTGAATTTCTGAATTTCTGAATTTCTGAATTTCTGAATTTCTGAATTTTTGAATTTTTGAATTTTTGAATTTCTGAATTTTTGAATTTCTGAATTTCTGAATTTCTGAATTTCTGAATTTCTGAATTTCTGAATTTCTGAATTTCTGAATTTCTGAATTTCTGAATTTCTGAATTTCTGAATTTCTGAATTTCTGAATTTCTGAATTTTTGAATTTTTGAATTTCTGAATTTTTGAATTTCTGAATTTCTGAATTTCTGAATTTCTGAATTTCTGAATTTCTGAATTTCTGAATTTCTGAATTTCTGAATTTCTGAATTTCTGAATTTCTGAATTTCTGAATTTCTGAATTTCTGAATCTCTAAAAAAATTTGTTAATTAACTTTATATGTACAAGATAGGGAAAGCTCGATGAACAGGCAAAAATATTCGGGAAAAAATTTAAAAGTTCCTTGAGATTTGATGATAATCAAAAAATATATTTAAATATAAATAATAGAGAAAGATGCCGGGACGGAGAGATCATTGGGATGATGATGGAAGTGGAAGGAGGTATAGGAAAAGCTCGAAAAGAATGGACAAGTATTATTTGGTCCTGAGAAGGATTGAAAAAGAATAAAAAAGAGAAAAATCTACTACAATTTGTCAGGAATTCCACCATATAAGTGGTTGTGTCGAAGACTAGTGTTATAGAATTGGGGAGACGACATGTCGGATTTGGCGTAGAGAATGTCGGCTGGTTGGTATTTGGGAAGAGAGCGGGAGTTACCTGAAATTGAAGAGGGTAACATTAGCTTTCCAAAACATTTTTAAAAATTTAAATCGGTCCACTTTGAGGCAAGTTATGACACTTTGAAAATTGGTGGCCTCGAAATTCTAAAATCCAGGCTACCGTTTACAAAACGTCGTATCTCGGCTCAAAATCGATATTTTTGAATTTTGAAAACTGTTAGAAATAGGTTTGGCTCCGTTCTATATGATAAAAGTACTCACCCAAACAACAAATTGCATTTTTCCACGAGGATAGCGTTTTCGTACTGCATACCCAAAATCCGGATGTCCATCCTAATACGCACATGCAGCAAGTCTTGATAAGGGAGATGATAAGGGAAGAGTCGCCTGGAAAATTGTTAATATTGAACAAGGTAAAGTATACAATGGCCTAGAAATCTGATTTTCTAGGATCAAAGAATATTCGACACGGTCAAAGTCTAGATTAGACCTACTTATTACCGTTTTCAAAACTCAAAACGGTCTTCTTAGTGTCAAGTTAGAGCAGTTTGCAACTGATGGTCTAGAAATTTTTCGGTGGCCTAGAAAAGCAAAATTCGAAAAATTTGGATTTCTAGGCCACGATCTACCACTGTATCTAAACGAAAAAAAAAACTCACCAATAGTCTGCTTTGGCGAACAAGAGCACAACTGCGACTGCTCCCAGAGTCCTCTATGATTCTGCTCATAGAACAGAACACAGATAATCAGCAACGAAGGAATTGTGTATAACAAGGAGAAAATCCCAATTTTGCTCATCAATTGCGTAATCTTATGTGCACTCTCCAGCGATGGATGTTGCTTCTGAACTTCGTTTCGAATACTCCACAAATTGAAGAATCCAATGATCAAGAACAAAACGCCAACACAGAAATAGGTGAGAAGCGGCGCCAAGACAAAAAACCGCTGGAATCGCAAGTCAGTGTTTCCAACATAGCACATTCCAGAAATCGGGTCCCCATCGATCGCGTTGAATCCCATAACTAGCAGTGTTTGAGCCAGTGGAAGTCCCCAACCGACAACGTGGAAATGTACGGAGAACGAGCTGATAGCTTCTGGGGACCATTTTGAAGCCGCGGAGAGAACCCAGGTCAGCGAGAGGATCACCCACCATACCGACGCGGCCATTCCGAACAAGTAGGTCAACAGGAAGACGACGAAACAAAGAGTTCCAGATGTATCATCCAATCCTTTGATTTTCATTGAGTCACAAGCGATTTCTTCGTGTCCCACGAAATAGCGAATCATGAATCCGACAGCAACCATTAGTTGACAAAAAGCTAGCATGAAAATCGGCCTTTCTGGGTATTGGAATCTATCGGTTTCAATGAGGAAGGTCAGGAAAGTGAAAGAAGCCAAGACGCAGCATGTGGTACTCCAGAATGCCATCCAACTGGACACCAATTTCTTGTTATCAGCAAGAGCAGGACTGTGACAAGAGTAAGCGCAATTGGTCACATTTCCGACTTTCGATTTTTCAGATGCCACGTATTGGAACGGTTGGTTGCAGGTACATTGACACTCTGTGCTGGGATCCTGCTTCATTGGGATTTCGTTATCTTCAATTTTCGAAATTCCTACTTCGTTGTACTTTTGTTGCTGTTGCTGATGGTGATGTCCATGTCCTTTGTGCGCCTTCTTTGGTGTATCTGGAGGTGCTGCACAGATATTTCCAGTCGTCATCTGATCAGACATCTTTGGTAGCGCATCACAAGACAGTGTCTCCGGCCAACGGAATCCATATTTTGCCATTATGGGGCTGCATTTATTGCGCGCCTCCACACAGAGTTCCATGCACGGGAGGATGGGCTTGTCGTAGTTTTCTTGGCAAATCGGGGTGTACATTGTGCAGAGGAAGAATTTCAGGTGTTGGAAGCAACCGACCTGGAAATACAACTTTTAATATTTATGATTCTCTAGGCCACTCAGCTTAATGAATCGTTTATAAGCTTCCCAATACAGTTTTCAATTTTCGAATTAAACCAATTTCAGCCAAGTTATGACAGTTTGAAACCGGTGGCCTAGGAATTCTGATTTCTAGGCCATCAAATTGATTTATCTTGGCACCAAAGAGCTCGTTTTGAGTTTTGAAAACTGTAATGAATAGGTGTGGTCCTAGGTTTTTGAAATAGAGAAGCTTTGAATGCCTCAAATAATTTTCGATGACCTAGAAAACCAAGTTTCTCGGCTATCAAACTCAATGTGCTCTAATTGCCCCGAATTCTCAGACTTATAACTTTCTAGGCCACCATATCAACTCAAAGAGCCGTTCATAAACTTCACAATAATTTTTAAAACATCTAAATTGAGTCACTTTTAGCAGAGTTATGACAGTTTGTATCAGATGGCCTAGAAAACCAAGTTGCTAGGCCATCAGTTACAAATTGCTCTAACTTGACACCAAATAGGTTGTTAAAAATTTTTGAAAACTGTAATGAGTAGGTCAAATCTAGCGTTTTGAGGTAGTTAGACTTTGAGCATCTTAAATAGTTTTTGATGGCCTAGAAAATGCAATTTCTAGGCCATTTGATACAAACTGATGGAACTCGGTTCAAAGTGGTCCATTTCAAATTTCGAAAACTGTTCCAGAACCCTCTCAACAAGCTCTATTAATAAATCTACTCACCTCAACCAATGGATAAAACTGATGAACTTCCAATCCGGCCTCCTCCTGTTTCTCATGTCCATAGCTATTCGGGAACAATGTCATATTATATCCAATCCCCTTACATAGTGGAATCGTAATCTGCTCACATTTTCCTCGTTTTCCAAGACTTTGACACGATCCGATCAGTAGAATTAGGGGCAGACTGATTCGGAGTAGCATTTTTGGGGTTTTTCTGAAAATAACAGAATAATTAGAGGGTGATGGATAACACTAAGGGGATGAATGAAATATGAGAGTTCATAAAACAAGAGAATGAGAGAGAGAGAGAGAGATAGAGAGAGAGAGAGAGAGAGAGAGAGAGGAGGAGGAGGAAGGAAAAGTACAAAGGATGCGCTTCCTCTGGCTTCTTCTTTTCTAAGGAGGTGTCAAGTTACAGAGGAGAGGTGGAATTTCTGATATTACTGAAGAAGAAAAAAGTGATCTAGAAAACGAAGACATTGGGATTAAGAGACACGTTGAGCCTGGAACTGTGCCATCCAAGATTTTGAACAGAGTTACAACAGTTTGTACTTGATGACCTAGAAGCTTGGGTTTCTAGGCTATCAAAAACTATTTTAGACTTGCAAAGTATCACTATCTTATTCGTCTAGATTAGACCTACTCATTACAATTTTCAAAACTCCAAACAGCCTTTTTGGTACCAAGTTAGATCAATTTGTAACTAATGGCCTACAAACTTGGTTTTCTAGGCCATCGGATACAAACTATCGTAACTTAGCTTAAAATAGCCAGATTTACGTTTTGAAAGCAGTTCTAGAAAGCTTGTGAACGGTTCTTTGAGATGATGTGTACATTTAACGGCCTAGAAAATCATAAATGTGAAACATTGGGTCAGCTAACGCACGTGGAGTTTTGTTCCTAGAAATTCTGGTTTCAAATTGCTTCATTTTTGTTCAAATACGAAAATAGAGCTCTGATTTTTAAACAAAAATATGAATGGCCTGAAAAAGGGATATTCTCAATCTACACGGTCTATTTTACGAAAAATTGGTTCCACGAGCCAGATCTAGACTCCACGTGGAAAACGGAAAATCCGTGTTCATTGATACATCTCTTCCCTATGTTTACTTTTTTCTCCTTAAAATTGTTACTACTCTACACCACACAAAGACATAGAAAACACAAAAAAATGACCCTATGTCATTTCTTATCAATGATCAGATCACTCTACCTCAAAAGTTTAGGATATCAGAAATAGGATACCCACCGTTTTTTGTTGCTCTCTCTGCTAAAAAGAAATAGTGCGAGGAATTGAGAGACGCAGTGTGTTTGGCGAGCACTCGAGTGGATGATAAAGATTGAGGAATTGTTACCATTTGTTCTATTTTTTCAATATTTTTAGGATGTGTTTTGGAGTTTTCAGGAGAAATTGCAAGGGAGGACCATAACTTTGACCCAATTTATCTCGGTTTCTGTGAAAGGTATCAAAAAGTGGTCAATTGATAAAATGTTTATAATGATATCAACAACATTTTATCAGTTTACTATTTTTTGGTATCTTTTACATGAAACGAGAAAAAGTGGGTCAAAGTCAAAGGATTGTTTTATTAGGTGACCAACTTGGGCGACCGAGTAGCTAAATCTCAAAAAAAAAAGAGACATCCTAACTAAAGCAAAATGACTATACACACTTTGTTACGTAATACATATGTAAGAGCTACTCGGTATACACAAAACGAACACTGAAGAAGAGGGAGACGAAGAAGGCGCGGAATTCAAGGAGGCCCGATGAGGTGTCAGGTTGCAAAAACTGAGCCAGCGAGTGGTCTAGAGAAGATAGGATATACTACCTGGGGAGGATTTTTGAGCTCAAACATAGCAGAAAAAAGACAAAAATGTGTGGTTAAAACAGCTGAAGAAATGAATGAGCAAGGTAAGGTGATTATCAAAAATAGGAGAAACCACAATTTCAAGACACTTTGAACTTTGAAAAGATATCAAAATTTTGCCAATTAATAAGATGTTTTTCATAATATAGTCAACATTTTTGTAGTTCATAGATTTTAGATATCTTTTATAGAAACCGAGATAATTGAGTTCAAAATGCAGTGGTCAAAAATCCAGGGGATTCTCCCATCTAGGCAGTTATGGACCCAAAACTAGGCTCAAAAAAAAAGCAAATGAACAAAATATATGGAAAATATATAGAACGAGAAGTGAATAGGTGAGAGGTAGGGGATTTCCGGAGAGGAGGAGGGGAAAGAGGAGACCGAGTAGCAAAGGGGCGGGACTTATAGAAAACAAAAAGGAGGGGAAAGGGGGGGGGGTGCTAAAAGGAATGAAAAGGGTGAAATAGGAATGAGGTGGGACCAGAGGGATAGATTTTTTGGACCATTTTAGTTCCGAAGGACCTTTCGACCTTCATTTTCAGACAGAACTAAAAAATTTGGGTCCAGGAAAACTGGAACTTGAATATCTCCAAATTTCGGGTTTTCCAAGAAATTGAATTTTCGTAAAACCTGTATTTGAAGGTCTCCTTCAATAGAAAGGCCCCTCTAATAGAAGGGCTCTCCGAGGAGGGGTTTGAAAAAAATTTAATACAGTTATTAAGGTATTGCAAATACACACAGGAACCTTCCAAAAAAGCAAGAAATCCGGAGCTACAGATCTACAGACAGACAGACAATATTTCCTTTGACACATTCCTCCTAAATTAGTCCTTACTAAAACAATGCTGAGAAAACTGTACTATAAGTTGGAGGCAGGTGTTGTCAGATAGGTATAGACGGGTGACTTGGACCAGGTGCATTATGTAATTGCATAGTTATAGGAAAGGTGTGAAGGAATTTGAGAGCCTTCTGGGGAAGTAAGATATGCAGGTCTTACTGTAGGAGTCATTCAAAACTTTTTCGACTAATAGGATTACTATAGACCTACCTTTACTCCGAAAACGAATCTTTTCTGACCTTCGTGTTCACAGTTATTCAGAATCATAACAATTCTGGCACCCCCACGGAGGTGTTAGTCCTCGGTTGACTGGACCCGTATTGACTTTGCCCCTACTACTACTAACGGAAATCATATACATACAGAAGAGTAAAGTACTGTATAGGGTCTCTCACGCAATGGAACAATGTTTGTCAACGGAAGTCTGACACCTATTTGTTGACCCGGGGGTCTACGGTAGGGGGTCCGGGGTAGGAGGTCCTTGGTAGGGAGTCCAGGGAAGGGGGTCGTTTTCCAAGGAAATGGATCAGAAGGTTTAATGGATGTTAGATCGTTTAGATTGTTTTCAGGTTACTGTAGAAGAATGAACTTGTGAGACAAATCTTAGAAGTGCCGGCTGAGCTACGCGGTGGCATTGAGGGCCATAACTTTGACTTTATTTATCTCGGTTGTTGTGAAAGGTAACAGAAAATGGGCAACTAACAAAATATTTAGGAATTTTTTTGGTTGAAGGATTTTTAATATAATTTTCATGATTTGAAAAAAAAATTGTAGATCAAAAAATCACAAAAACCTGGGGGTTGAAGTTTTGGGGTATGAATAATCCTAGGTTTGAGAGAGAAAGGGGTCCTAACATCTTGGACCATCTAACTACTCAGTTACTGAGGACACGAAATGTTTATAAAAGGAAAGAGATACACACATCTTGGTGTCGTCAGTATAAACTATGAAAGTTGGGAGATACTTTATAATAATAATTTCTTCCAGATGTCTGCCGCGGCCGGCCGAGACATAGACTGTGGGTAGGTTGCTAATCCAGAAGCCAATGGGGCGGCTAGGCCGATGTACCCTACTTATCCCAGAAGTGCCATAACTAAAATTGTAGGACCGGCTGTGGCACAGCTTTATCTGGACCCTATAAAGCTTATTCTAACTCTATGAAGCTTAGGACTCTATGAAGCTTATGCTTGTAAGAAGTGTGACCCCTATAACATGTAATCCTCTATACAAACAGTACTCCTCATTTTTTTGACACCCCTATTATCCCCAACCAGATTGTTGCATAACACTGAGAGCAGCTGGTGTTCAGAACACATAGTGAAGCAGTAGGAGATGAACAATAGGTGAATAGAGGGAAGAATGAGGAAAAAGTTGTGTTGCACACTAATTTGCATAAAAGATGTTTAGTCGCGGGAAGGAAGCGAAGTGAGGAGTACTTTTGCAAGATGTGAGAGGCGACGAACAATTATGTACTTTTCGTCGTGTTTAGTGATTTAGGGAATAAGAAAAGCAGTGGAACAGGGAATTGTGGGGTCTAGACGGTTTTTGTACATCCTGTTTTTGTATACGGGAGAGATTTTAAAAAAGAAAAACTGGAATTATAGCCATTCTGTCGTATTCGAGGTCTAGCTAACTTGTAGTTAACAGTGAAAAGCTTATGTGTAGCTCAGCGGCGTGGCACAGTTCCTATTTCAGTAAATGGCTAAGGAATACGAAATTTTAGGCCATATATACAGAATCTCGAAACCCCAAACGTAACCTTTTCAGATCAGTTTTCAAAACTCAAAACGCTTCACTTTGAGCCAAGTTATACTATTTTGAAGATTGGTGTTCTAGAAATTGCAAATTCTAGGCCAACTGCTACAGAGCGTCGTATCTCGGGTCAAAATGAATACTTTTCAATTTTGAAAATTGTTACCAAAATTCTAGGTTACTTTGGTGAAAATTGAAAACTTAAAATTTCGAAATTTTGTTCCTGAAATCTCTATCTCCAAGTTATGCGAAATAGGATCTGGAAATATCGAAATTTCGAAATTCAGAAAAAAAGAAAATTTAAAAAACTATACAAGTTTCTTTTTCTCTTGCTGCTACTTCATTCACATTTTTTGCTAGGTGAAATTATGATGAATAGAGCAGCTCAAAATTGGAGCAAAAGAAGAAAAAGAAGAAGTGGAGCAAAACTAGCCAAGAGCAATTGGAGCGTGAAAAAAAAGCAGAAGAAGAGGAGAAGTAGGCTGTAACAACCTTGAATTCTGAATTTTTTGCGAAATTACGAGGAGGAGGAAGACTTCACGCTGAGAAGGAGAAGACGACATCTGACCTGTTGGGGGGGGGGGGGTCCAATTGCCCTGACAGATGATGATGACGTGGATTAGGAGGGGGGATTTGTACGGGGAGACGGGGTAGGTCAAAAAATAAGGATCTAAATCGGAAGTGACAGATTTTTGAAAGGATGAATAATTCTTAAAAGAGCCGCGCCATTACCGGCCGAG